TGTGCCAAAATTGAATGACCGGCCATGACTAGTTACTTTACCCAACAAATTTTTGTGGGCATGGTTCTCGAAAATGTTAATTAGGTAGTAAAAAACTTGTAATTTTTCAGGTATATAATGGATTTACAAGATGAAAAGTCCTTAAAAAATTTTTAATGAAAGTCTACAGAAATCTATGGAAGACTTTTATTAGGGTCCGTTTGATTAGTTTAAATTCTATGGAAAATGTCACATCCGAGAAATTCAATTTCTACTTTAGTTGTTTGATATGAAAGTGGAAATAGAGTTCGAATTCTAAGATACAACTACTTTAAGCTTGTTTTTTGCCAATTTCATGGAAAATGCATTCCTCGGGGGTACTTGGATTTTTATGTTCCAACTTACATGGAATTGGAAAGTCTTTCCACATTTATCAATCAAACGGACCCTTAATTCTTAACAAATCCATAAAAAAGTCCATAAAATCCACAAAAGTCACCCAGGTAAAAAAATTCTATAGAAGTCTTCAAAAGCCTTAATTGAATACACTCACCTAATTTTCTTCTCAACAAAAGAGAATGGTATAGTCCACACTCGTATATACTAATCCGAGCCTCTTCTAAGGGTAACATAAGGAAATAAAATTTAGTGAAGTCTTGACCACTTCATTCAAGAAAACCAATAGAGAACAATCAAAAGATAAACCCGTCCAAAGGTCAGATGTAGCTGCCATGACTTCCAAGATCTAAACTAACACAGCCGCAGTTTAAACTAGTCATTAGCAACTACTTGTTTGGTGAGAACACAGGAGAAGGCAAAGGTGGTAGGACCAAGTCTTGTCGCACCCATATAATAAAAATCATGTTTTCAGGGTTTGATCTGATGGGAAAGAAATGAACTCCACCTAAATGTGAGGGATGCGCATGTTAAATATACATTTGGCCTTATCTAATAGCGAGCGATACTAAGGCAATCATTTCAGACACTAGCATTAAATGTTAAAAGATTGCTTCTTCTGTTTAAAGAATTTGAGAAACTGACCTGTGATAACAGACTCCCTTCAGGGTCACACTTAGTTTACCAAATTTGTCAAATATGTGACTTTTCTATTGATTGAATTGTTGTTTGGGAGTTCTGAAATATCAGATATGATTCTTCATTCAACCACAAGAAATCGATAAAGAAGGGTAAGGATCGGGATGATAATGATGATGAAAAGGAGGGAGCGAGGGAGATTTGTGATGGTGGTACAATTGCGGCAGTGGTGCATGAATATGATCAATGTCTGACTCTGTATCTATTATGTAATTTCATTGAGTGTCTGTATATATTACTTTATTCTTATAAGTTACAAGTAATAAAGTTACTTATTTTGACAATAGGATAGTGGCTTTTTTAAATAAATAACTATTTCGTACTTGGGTTTACTTCACAGTAAACTTAGTAATATATAAATTTTTTAAGCTTAGCCAAACTCGTACTTAACTTTTCACTTAAAAGAACCATACATGACCAGACATTTTCGAAAACCAATATTAAGTTTAAGTTACTTGTACACTTATCCAAACAAAAATATTAGCATAACCATTCGAAAGGAGGAAAGAACAAAACAATCAAAGCCCAAAAACGAAACGCTCGGGTTTCCTCATGAGAAACCGAAACTCTTAAGAAACTCTAGCAAAAGTTTCCGAAGCTCAAAAGAAGGTTTTCTACTGTTTTTCATTTTTCAATAATATTCGGGAACTTAAAGGAAACCTTATGGAAACTTTTGATCAAAATACTCAAATCTTTCGTTAGGAATTGCAATTTCTTGTGGGCTTTGTTGGGCACTTCAACTAAGAATTCACTTAATTGCAGATGCCAACTAAAAATTAACTTAATTGTTGGTTTGGACACTGGTACTATAAAAAATTAACAAGCAATTAGTATGAATTACAGATAATAAATGAAAAAAAATAGTAATTCAACCAAAACCCACAAAAAAAGTACTAAATAAAGGACCAACCTGGCGATTGAGGGTGGTGGGGTCATGTCTAGCCCAGAAAAAATCAAGCAGAGTTTCATAGTTACACTCTTTCGGGTCATACTGAACCCGAACCACCTCCGAATGGTTTGAGGTACCCGAACACACATCCTCGTAGGTGGGATTATGCAAATACCCCTGAGTATAACCTACTTCAGTCTTGGTAACACCCGGAACTCTCTGATAAGCCAATTCCACTCCCCAGAAACAACCCGCCCCGAATTGCGCGAACTCTTGTCCCGGGGCTGGTATATCATCGTCGGGTCCTTGTGCTATGGAAGATGAAGAGTCTGCAGGGGAGTCGGTCGGGGAGCGGGTACTGAAACCGAGCTTGTTGAGCCAGCTCATCCTTGAGGAGGAGAAGAAAGTGAAGGGGTTTCTGGTGGTATTAGGGTAATTATGTGGTTTGAAAAAGGGTAGTTTAGATAGAGAAAGAGAGGGTTTGGAAAGGGAGAAGAGAGAAGAGGATGTGGTGGTTACGGTGGTGGTTGCGGCGGCAGTAGTGGTGGTGAGCATTTTGTCTATATCTAAAATGATTATGTATTGGTGGTTGGTTGGTTACAAGCGGAGAATAAAAGGAGGCATGCTATATGAAACCCAATAGAATCTGGACGGAACACTCACACACACACATTGTTGTTGCAAATTTTTTTCTTGGGATAATTGCAGCAAAAATTTCAAACTATTGAAACATTAGCAGACTTCTTCCAAACTTTTAATTTGTTGTAACCGTCACCCAAACTTTTTCAAACGTTGCAGGTCAGGCTCTTTTGGATTGTTTCCGTCCACAATTCCGTCGTTGACTAAAAATTTAACTTTGACCACATTTTTAATATTTTAAAAATGGACAAAAGAGAAACTTTCATCTATTAAATTAAATAATTAAATAAGAAATAATTAAATAAATAAATAAAAACACCTACCCACTGACTTCTTCCTCTATTAAAATGTTTGAATGGTCACTGAACTTTAACATGGCCACGATTTACTCGTTGAATTTCAAATTGCCTCTTAATGGTCATTGAACTTTCTGCAGTTGCACCACATCCAACACTCACCAAATTCCGTTACCATCGAAGCTGACGTGAAGGACAAAAAACACACGTGGAAGATGATAGCCGTTAGAAAATGACAACTCAAATAAAACATTGTTTCATTACTCATACAACTTACATTTGTCACGATTCACTCATCGAACTTCCAAATGCTTTCCAATGGTCACTCATCTTTGAAATGTTGCATTTTATTCATCATCTGCATATTTTGCAATCTGAAGCTGAAACTTTGAAACATAACTTGTTTGGGGACGCTGTATTAGATTTTAAAGAAGTTTATGAAATGTGGAAGTCGCGTTTCATATATGGTAAACGTTCCAACCAAACAAGTTATGCTTCAGAGTTTTAGCTTCAGATTGAAACATATTTTTTTGCATAGTAAACGTTCGAATTAGAAAAATCATAGTTCTAAAAGAATCATTGGGACGCTTTATTTAGTTTTAAAGAAGTTGATGGGGCTGTGGAAGTTACGTTTCATATATGATGATTTTGGTGAGTTAAAGATTGTTGAGTTGCAATTTTTTTTAACATTTGTAATATAACAGTGAAATTTTTGTACGAACATTAGGAA